CACGGCAACATGACATCACGTGTGCGCCCTGTCCCTTTCAGCTCACTGTTTCTCCGGCTCCCGCTCCCTGACTGTACACCAGCGTCCAGCAAGGATCCTGACACAGCTCCTGTCTGCCTTCAAGGTAGGGTGTAGTCTTACAGGGGCACTCCTTATGGGCACGTTGAATGTTATGGGGGGGGCACTCTGGTGGGCACAGCATAGAATGTATCCATTAGAGTGCCCCTTAACATAACATATGCCCATCAGGGTGCCCCTTAACATAAAGGTGCTCATCAGAGTGCCCCTTAACATAAATGTGCCCATCAGAGTGCCCCTTAACATAACATATGCCCATCAGAGTGCCCCTTAACATAAATGTGCCCATCAGAGTGCCCCTTAACATAAATGTGCCCATCAGAGTGTCCCTTAACATAACATATGCCCATCAGCATGTCCCTTAACATAACATGTGCCCATCAGCATGCCCCTTATTTTATGTTAAGGGGCACTCTGACGGGCACGTTTTTATGTTAAGGGGGCACAAATGGGCACATACTTTGGAAAGAGACACTCTGATGGAGAATATGATGTGAAGGGGCACTCTGATGGGGAAATATGTTAGAAAGGGGTACTTTGAGTGTAAGGGGGCACTCTGACGGGAATACCTGATGCAAGATGGCAATGTGATGGGGATGAGGGAAGAAAAAACAGAGGGCGCACAGGCCTAGTGCATTACCATAAAAAATGTTTAATAAAAAATAAAGTAGGTGTTGTACTCACAAATGACAATACAGTCAAGGCACATCATAAAGAACAGCTGGGTCAACACAGTGCTGAGTAACAGTCCGCAATAGGGTGTGTAGACATCCAATTGGCTGACACGTTCCGAGGACTTGCCCCTTCCTCAGAGTCAGCCTATTTGTGGGCAGCAAGGTGTGCATGGTCCAGGACATTGTTAATGTGGTTGTAGCCTGCATCGAGTCCATCCCCAAGCGCAGAAGCATTTGTGTTTGCTGGTTCAATGTGATGGGGATACCTGATGTAAAGGGGCGCTATGATGCGTACAACTGATGTAAAGGAGCACTCTGATGGGCACACCTGATGTGATGGGAATACATGATGTAAAGTTTCACTCTGATGGCGACACCTAATGTGATGGGGCACACTGATGAGCACAACCTATTCGGACCTCGGCCAGAAGAAAATTTTAGTGACCAGACCGCCTTGAATTTTAATGCAATATTCCTGCACTACAATATAGTTTGACAACATTTTCTGATGTCATGTATGGGGCTAGATTTTAGAATCTCATCATAGGTTTTCCAGTATGTTTTGAGATGAGGATTCTGGTTAGCCAGGTGAAGAAGAAAACACGAGAACTTTGGTTTGCATAGAACTATGTTGCTGAAGACCTTCTAACAGAGATTAAACTGTTTGCGCAAAAACACAAGATGGAGAGAAAGCAGTCAGGTTTTTTGAACAACATAACATTATGACATATACTGCCTGTGACCATCTTCCAATTCTTTTGTTAAGTCCTCTTGACTGGGAGAGTCCTACCCATTTTTTGCCACCCAAGATCAATATAACCTTTCCTCCACTATGTCCAAAACCAAAAAGATTGCCTAAAGTTGACATACACGGTTAGATTTTTGTTTGAACATTTGTACAAAGTTATTACAAATGTTGTGTTGGAACATGTGATGATGCCATCATGGAGTCAAATCATTTTGTTCGAAGGCCCATAAAAATTTCATCAAGACCTGCTACTTGAATGGATTTCAAGGCATTTTAAAGGGGTTTATTTTATTGCTGGAATGAGAGACTACCGCACACTGATGGTGTCACTACAATCCTTGTCTATTCCATAGAACAACCACAATTGTCACAATAGCAATCCCTGCCCTAGGACTGCCACCTAGACTCATTTTACCTAATAGGGCTTAATCGTAGAGGTGGAATAAACGTGGATTGTAGTGATGCCATCGATGTGCAAATGGTCTGTAATTCTTGTGTGTAGTGTGTGTGTGTGTGTGTGTGTAGTGTGGACCTTTTCGTCAGTCCCAGGCACCCAGCGTTCAGGTAGCAAGGGGAAGTAGTTCTGTTTCAGAGAAGAGAGGAATGTGTCATATAATAAATATTTATTTTTATCATTACTGGTGCTTATATAGTGTCGTCAATTTACACAGCACTTTACATATTTATTGTACATTCACATCAGTCCCTAACCCTCAAGAAGCGTACAATCTAAGGTCCCTAACTTACATTCATACATACACATACTAGGGCCAATTTAGACAGGAGCCAAGTAACCTACCAGCATGCTCTTGGAGTGTGAAAGGAAACTGGAGTACCCGGAGGATACCCACGCAGGCACAGGGAGAACATGCAAACTCCAGATAGGTAGTGCTGTGGTTGGGAATCGAACCAATGACCCTAGTACTGCCTGGCAGAAGTGCTAATCACTTAGCCACTGTGCTGCCCACAGCACATTCCTTTTGTATCTATTGAACCACACGCCTAGATTGTAAGCTCTAAGGAGCAGGGCCCTCTGATTCCTCGTGTATTGAATTGTATTGTAATTCTACTGTCTGCCCTCATGTTGTAAAGAGCTGCGTAAACTGTTGCTGCTGTATAAATCCTGTAAAATAATAACGGCCAGCTTGAGCTCAAAAAACACGTTTCCTGTTGTTACAGCAAGTTTTTCTAACCAAGTTAAGTGCTGCCCACTTACCAACTCATGTCCAGTGAGAACGAGACACTGTCATTGGATGGGGGCTGGTGGACGGGGCTAAAACTATGGAAAGAAGTTGAGGTCTCCATAACGAAGTGAAAATAATTTAATAAGGCAATGAGGAATAGATAGACAAACCTTGTGGAGTTTTTGATCGCGTGGCGGACAGGTTTACTTTACATACTTCTAACTCATCCCTGATGTCCTATTCTTGTGACTCTTCATAGTCTGAAAATGGGGTAGGTATCCTTGTGAATCTTCCCTACTTTCTGTAGCAGTAGGCATCTGAGGACCAAAAGACAAGGTAGTTACCTGGAGATGGTAGAAACTCCACATCCTTGCCTGTTCTCTATTAAATGAAGAAATTCAATTTAATTGTGTTTTCACCCGAAGAGGCCAAATCCTTTAATTTGGTTTTTATTTCATTCCACTGACATTTGACTGTCATTATGGAATTAATTTACTAGTCTTTATCTAATGTGAATTTCCGTGAAATTACATGAAATTCAGTAGTAATACATCAAGTCTGCACAAATTATTAATTTATTTTTGCCTTCTGAACATTTGTCTTGAACTTGGTCATTCAGCTTTTAAATTTACCAGTTCAAAATGGGTCTTTTTTTTGGCATTTTTTTTTATTCTGCTATTATAAATAGAAAATCAATGCATCTTTTGGCTGCTTTTTTTTTTTTTTTTTTTACTGTTGACTGCTATCCCTGGCTCACTCAGGGTTTATTCTGTAAAGTGGTGATTATTTAACTGTTGTCTATAATTGAACACTTATTATTCTGACAGCATATTCAGCTGTATTAGTTAAAGGTTTAGTAGATGATGATCACATTCCCCAACACTTCCCAACATTCATCAGAATTAAGGCAGAATGGGGCTCTAGACAAGGCAGGAGCTTTGACCGCCTATTCCTGCAATTGATAAGGGTTATGGCTAATCCATTTGCATTACAGCACAAAAAATTAATAAAAATAATGCATAATATCAATAATAAAAAATTGCCAGTGAAAAAATTTATATTTCATCAGTGAAATAAATATAAGTGAAAATATATGAAAAAAAGTCCACTGTCCCAAGTCAATGGTGAAGAAAAAGTGCTCCAATAAAAACAAACGGTGCTAAAGGAAATCCAACGTGCCCACACCATCCGTGACTTCCAATATGGCCCACACTCGCCAAACAAAATGGACTCCTAGCTGATGGGGCTTAAGAGTCAAACAAGCTTTTGAGGTAAGATGTGTCCTCCAAATGAATCCCAATCAGGGAGAGAAAATTCCTGCTTGACAATCTCCAAACGACCACCCACTGATCCTCCACTCCCCCAGGAGATGGCGCTTCCCCACGTTCCGGCTGTGGGTGGTCCCTTGACAGTCTTCGGTCCAATGCAGGACAATGGACCCTGCTTCAGTCTTATTTTTATTGGGTTTTTTTTTTGCGCTGTGATTATATTTTAATTTATGTATTGATGTTTTTTCATCTATGGACAGCAGCACTAATTAATTATTTGGTTGGGTTCAGGCACGGGTTTATTTTACAATATCAATCCATTTGCATTGTCTGTATTGGCATGGCAACATCAACACCAACTGTCTAGGGCAAGGGTGTCCAACTGTTGACTTTCCTGGGCCAAATTGGAAGAAGAGGAATTGTCTTGGGGCCACACATAAAATACACAAACAATAAGGATAGCTGAGGAACAGAAAAAGTTGGGCAGCTCACACGTTAACAATCACTGATATAGATAATAAACCTATCTGAGTAGTAAATCTGCACTGATTAACATATTTTTTTTTATTATAAAAGTAAAAAAGAGCAACATAAAACTAGTGTGATATTTTACACTGTTTTTTTAACAACCTAACACATGGGTGGATGTAGTAGCAATTCTCAGTGTACTCTCAAGATGATTTTTTTGGTTCCAATTTTTCCCTTTGTGTGCTTAATCCTTAAAAATGGTTGCTTACAACTATAGGTGTTGCTGAAAAGTGATGACATGAATAAGGTGTGTGATTATGTAGAGTGGGTTTTTTTTTTTTTAGCAAGATAAAACTTATAAATGTCCAGTAAAGAGATACTGTAAAATTTTTCTCCGGCTGCATGTGTTCGCTAAGTGTAGTGTACAAATAAGCCCCAAAAAAGTTAGTTTATGATTTTGTGTTGGGCCACATTCCGAGCCTTCTTGGACTGCGGGTTGGACACCCCTGGTATAGGACTTCTTTCTGTAGTGGATCGCTTTTCAGAGGGTTGTGTAGCAGTGGCTGACGGGCATTGACCCTAGGTTCACATCTGTGCGGGTGGTGCCGCTGCGGATCCCTGCGAAAATCCGTGCAGCCGCACCACCCGCACAGAGGAATGTGGACCCGCTGGTGCCATTAGTTCTAATGGCATGCCACCCGCACTGGAAAATGCAACCATACTGGGAACCGAGGTTCCCGTGCGGGCTGTGTTTTTTAAAGAAGTGCAGGGACTTCTTTCCCTGCGTGTCACGGGCACGGGAGTCCATTCAAATGAATGTGCTCTCGTGCCCGTGCAAAACGCGGCCTGCACGACCGCATAGATGTTAACCGGGGATGAGGGGGTGCTACTGCTGTTTTTTCTTTTTTAAACTTTTTGTGTTTCAATTACCAATGGTTAGCTTGTGACTGCTTTGATCAATCAGAATTGCTGTGATCCCTCCCCCTCGGAAGTCATGCGGAGAAAAAGGAAAAGATGAGCGAAGATTTCAGATCCCTGGACTACTACACCGGCTACATGGTCCCTGCCAGCTAATTACCCATGATGCTAAGTGCAGTGAGGAATGGGGGGTGGGGATAGCTGTAGGGCAGGGGTTCTCAATCTTTTGAAGAGTGAGAGCCACTTAAGTGATTTGGTAACTGGTTGTGGGCCACAAAGAAATGAAATTATTATTATTATACAGTATTTATATAGCGCTAAAAGGTTTGCTCAGCGCTGTACATTATAGTGGGGGACAGAACATGAGACAATACAGTAACAAAACAATACACGAGGGGTTCGAGGGCCCTGCTCTTTGGAGCTTACAATCTAGGAGGAAGGGGATAGTGGTACAGGAGGAAGTGGCTGTGGGGGATGGAGTGGTAGGAGGAGTGGAGGAGATCGGCTGTTAGGTGAGGGTGGGGTAGGCTTCCCTGAAGAGATGGGTTTTCAGGGTGTGCCTAAATGTGTGGAGGGTAGGTGACAGTCTGATGGATTGGGATAGTGAGTTCCAGAGGATGGGGGAAGTCCTGGAGAAGTCTTGCAGTCGGGCGTGGGAGGAGGAGACCAGGGAGCTAGGAAGTAGGAGGTCTTGTGAGGAGCGAAGATTACGGGTAGGGTGGTATTTGGGTATCAAGTCGGTGAGGTAGTTTGGGGCAGCGTTGTGAATGGCTTTGTATGTCTGTGTTAGTTGTTTGAATTTAATGCGTTGGGCAATCGGAAGCCAATGGAGGGAATGGCAGAGGGGGGTGGCAGAAGCGGAGCGGTTGGTAAGGTGGATGAGTCTGGCCGCTGAGTTCAGGATAAACTGAAGCGGGTTGGTTCAAATGGTTGAAATGGTTCAGAATTTAGAATTTTTTTATGGAGAGGAGGAGAAGCCAGATTTCAGTAGTTGCAGGAGGAAAATGGAGAGGACGGGTTCCTGTATATGTCGCCCTCACCACCTCTTCTGTCCAGTTAAACAGAAATTCCAGAAACCACATTGTCCATTTCCTCTTGAGCTTTAGTTCAAAATGGTGAAACCGTTTAATTTGTTTCAATCTTTCTGAAACACGTTTGGTCAAAGGATCGGACTTCTTCATTAAGCGTTTGCAGCAAAGAGGAAGAATCCTATGTACTGACAAGTGCAAGGATAGTCTATGGACACGATTAATAGAAGAGCTGTAATTTACAAACAGGAAAAAAAACAAAAACATGTTATTAGTTGCTGCTTTGCAATACTGCCCTTTTGGGAATGGTAGTTGCAGATAAAATGTTCTGCAAAAATAACATTAGGCGCTCTCATTAAACATGTATTAAAATTAAAGCAAGCTCTTTCTTTATGCAGACTACTTTTGTACTGAGGTAACAGAAACGCCAAACAAAAAGTGTTTACCCTGCTTTTCGGTTCAACACTGTAGAAAAAAAAATATACACCATATTGCCAAAACTATTGGGACACCGCCCCCTCCAAATCATTGGATTCAGGAGTTACAATCACCTCAATGGCCACAGATGTATAAAATCATCACCTAGGCATGCAGACTGCTTCTACAAACATTTGTGAAAAAATGGGTCACTCTCAGGAGCTCAGTGACTCCAAGCGTGGTACTGTGATAGGTTGTCACCTGTGCAATAAGTCCATCCGTGACATTTCCTGGCTACTAAATATTCCACGGTCAGCTGTTAGTGGGATTATAACAAAGTGGAAGCAACTGGGAACAACAGCAACTCAGTCACCAAGTGGTAGGCCACGTAAAATGACAGAGAAGGGTCAGCGCATGCTGAAGCGCACAGTGCGCAGAAGTCACCAAGTGTCTGTAGAGTTAATAGCTAAAGACCTCCAAACTTTGTGTGGCCTTCAGCTTATCACAACAACAGTGCGTAGAGAGCTTCATGGAATGGGTTTCCATGGCTGAGCAGCTGCATCCCAGCCTTACATCACCAAGTGCAATGCAAAACATCGGATGCCATGGTGTAAAGCACGCCGTCACTGGACTCTAGAGCAGTGGAGACATGTTCTCTGGAGTGATGAATCACACTTCCCTGTCTGTCAATCCAATGGACGTGTCTTGCTTTGGCTGTTGCAGGAGAAAATCATTTTTGAGTAATCATCAGTTCATTGCAGAGTACCAAGCCTGAGTCTAGCCTTACCACATTTACACACTAGTTATCAAAACGGTGTCAATAGTATTGAACCAACATTTTTTATATATATATATATACTGTATATATGACGTACGCTTGGCAGCAAAAGGGTTAAACCCCAGGCCTTTGTCTCCTCCCGACATTCTCACAAACTCTGTGCATGTGCCTAGCAGTTTCCTGCTGCACTGGCTGCCACATGTCACCGGGCCGCGTTTTGCACGTGCACGAGAGCACATTCATTTGAATGGACTCCCGTGCCCGTGACACGCAGGGAAAGAAGTCCCTGCACTTCTTTGGAAAACGCAGACCGCACGGGAACCTCGGTTCCCGGTACGGTTACGTTTTCCAGTGCGGGCGGCGTGCCATTAGAATTAATGGCACCCGCGGGTCCGCATTCCTCTGTGCGGGTGGTGCGGCTGCACGGATTTTCGTGCGGATCTGCAGCGGCACCACCCGCACAGATTTGAACCTAGGGTCAATGCTCATCAGCCACTGCTACACAACCCTCTGAAAAGCGATCCACCACAGACAGAAGTCCTATACCAGGGGTGTCCAACCCGCAGTCCAAGAAGGCTCTGAATGTGGCCCAACACAAAATCATAAACTATCTTTTTGGGGCTTATTTGTACACTTTATTTGAATGGGCTCCCATGCCCCGTGCCACGCAGGGAAGAAGTTTCTACACTTCTTCTGAAAACGCAGCCCGCACAGGAACCTCGGTTCCCAGTACGGTTGCGTTTTCCAGTGCGGGCGGCGTGCCATTAGAACTAATGGCACCCGCCTGCGGATCTGCATTTCTATGTGCAGGTGGTGCGGCTGCACGGATTTTGTGCGGATCCGCAGCGGCACCACCTGCACAGATGTGAACCTAGCCTAAGTGTGCTGGTTGCTCCCACAGCTAGGACCCACGATTGGAGACTTATCCCTCCCAGATTTTTACCAACCATTGAGGAAACTGAAAAATCAATTTCCTATGAAACCTGGAACCCCTCTACCTGCCTGGTTGGGAACACTGGGTGATGCAAAACCCTTTTTACATCCCGCGGCAGGGCATTGCACTGTCACAGCGTTAATTAAAAAAAAGTTTGTGGGGTAACCCTGATTGTAAGCTTTGCCTTTTTTTTAATAGTCCACATGCTCCTATCATGCTCTGCAACTTTTGGCCCCATGCACACTAGCATTTTATTTTAAGCTGAAAAAATATTGGAAAAAACACTGCATAAAAAGAGCTGGTAATAGCGTTTTTTTTTAGTAGCATTTAGGAGCGCTAGTGTTTTTACAGTACATGTAGAAAAAAGCAAGCTGTTAGAAGCTGTTTAGCAGCATTTAGCGTTTTTCTTTTCTGCTGAAAATTGCTCCAAAAAAACTCTAACTTTTTTTTTTTCTGAAGCTCAAAAAACACTAATGGTCTAAAGTAATACAACCATCAGTCCCTCCCCTCATGCCAGGGTACTAGGTGTAATCCTGGACTCCCATCTGTCCTTTCATCCCCAAATCCAATCACTGTCCAAATCTTGTAGACTTCACCTCCGCAACATCTCCAAGATACGGCCGTTCTTAACCTCGGAAACCACTAAGCAACTTATTCACTCCCTTGTTATCTCTCGCCTTGACTATTGTAACTCCCTCCTCATTGGCCTACCTCATCGCAGGCTATCCCCCCTTCAGTCTATCATGAATGTTGCTGCCAGATTCATCCACCTTACTAACCGTTCTGTATCTGCCACCCCTCTCTGCCAATCCTTCCACTGGCTTCCCATTGCCCAACGGATAAAATTCAAAACATTAACAACAACATATATAGCCATTTATAACTCTGCCCCAAGTTACATCACCGATCTTGTCTCCAAATATCACCCAAACCATACTCTCCGCTCTACGCACGACTTCCAGCTCTCTAACTCCCTTGTCTCCTCCTCCTATGCTCGTCTCCAGGACTTCTCCAGAGCTTCCTTCATCCTCTGGAACTCTCTACCCCAATTTATTAGACTATCGCCTACTCTGCTCACTTTAAGGCAATCTCTGAAAACCTATCTCTTTAGGGAAGCTTATCCTGCCCTTCGCTAATAACGGAATCTTCTATTGCTCCTACCAGTCCACCCCCCACGGATATTACCTTTTGTATCACTAGCCCCTCTCTCTTAGATTGTAAGCTCCAAGGAGCAGGGCCCTCCTATCCCTCTTGTATTGAACTGTATTGTTGCTGTATTGTCTCCCGTTTAATATTGTAAGGCGCTGAGCAAACTGTTGGCGCTATATAAATCCTGTATAATAATAATAATAAAAAGTAGTGTGTATGGACACATAGGATAACACTATTTATCTTCTAGGAACAGAAAAAAATGCTAATAGCTTCTAGTAGCTTAAAAAAAATAGTGTTCATGGAGCCTATATGTAATTTTACATGGTCAATAGTCATATCCTTGTGTATCATCCACAGAAACAAAAAGCCTATCTTACACCGACTAGTTTTTTTAAAATATCTAACTGGCTCAGGAGTCTCTTCCAAGGATATGAGAAGAGCCAAGAGGAGGATTTAAACTAAGTAAAATGAGTTCTATTGATCTGGAATCTAAGAGATGGATAGGCAGCAATGCAGACCTATTCAGTCTATGCCCTGCAGTCATTCTATAATGTCTTTCTATTTCTGTAATAGAACTGATAGAAGGTGAGACCTCTCTAATAAAAGAAGACTTCCTTCCTTCTGCTTATTATATATGTGACGGATCATCAGCAGAAAACAATATTGTGCATCTCGGCAAGAAACCTTGCTGTCACCGGCGTAATGTGACCGTGCAATCATTGGACAATACGTGTTTCGTGTTTCTGGAGGTACATACTTGCTATAAGTCACATCTACTGCCATCTGGTATTTGTTCTGTAGAGCCTTTCTCATGATAGAGATGACTCAGCAGGGCTCCATGAATACTCTCACGTCTTGTTTGTTATATTTCTAAGGTGGTTTTCATCAGTAAATCCAATATGTCGGCTGCAACAACAAAACTATCAATTCTTATCATCTTTATTGAGGTTTCTATAATAATATTGATATGAAGCCTGTGGTTTTACATAGCAGTAAGTCAGGCATGTCCAAAGTCCGGCCCGCGGGCCATTTACGGCCCGGGGGTCGGTTTAATACGGCCCTCCAACAGCCCTCCCTGCTCTGTGTAATGTGGCCCTCCCACGGCCCTCCCTTCTATGGCAGACAGTCTTCTGCTTGAGAGCAGAGGGCAGTGCGCATGCCTGACTGCGGCGCGTTCTCCCTGGTCTGTGTAAATGCGGCTGTCGCACGGCCCTCCCTTCTGTGGCAGACAGTCTTCTGCTTGAGAGCAGTGCGCATGCGTGACTGCGCCGCGCTGGGAGCGACAGAGGGCGGTGACGTCAGGGCCGGGCTTCCAGCGTGAAGTGTGTTTTCTCTTCCCCTCCCGGCTGCCGAGCAGAGACTTCAGCTCCAGCTACCCTTTTTCACCCTTCACATTAGTGCAGGTAAGTTTTTTTAAAATTTATTTTCAATACATTGTGAAAACTCAGCTGTCAGTTGATCTTAATGTTATGAAATGAAAAGTATGTCGTTTGCAATTAACTTGGCATAAAATAATTTATTTGCATTTAGTTGTAATGGTTCAAAGAATGTTCGGAAAAATGTTCGGCCCTCCACCATGTTCACTCCAATATGGCCCTCTTTGAAAAAAGTTTGGACACCCCTGCAGTAAGTAGACAGAAAGTGACAGTTCCTCTATCTCAGGGGTCTCCATACTTTCTAAGCAACGGGCCAGTTTACTGTACTTAACCCCTTGGCGCCGGCACCTCCCGGCCCTTTAAAGGCTTGTTCACACTTGGCTGTTTTACCAACGCTTGTCAAACGCCCCTATAGCGGTTTTATTGCCCCCAATCCCTACCCCCCTTTAGCTGCTGAGGCAGAAGCCAAAGGTGTGCACGTGCCGCAGCAGGAAGGAAACCCCCCCCCCCCCTTTTGCTCTTGGTGGGTGCTACTGCCTACCAATCGCAACCCATTCAAATGGGGCCACTCTGCAAGCGCCCTGAAACTGCATGCTTCTTTGGGGTCCAAGGGGTTAAAGAAGGTGGTGAGAAAGTAACACAATGCTGCCTGCTTTAACCCCTTGATTGCTGTACTGCACAAGGTTGCCGGGCACTTGCAGAGTGGCATCATTCACTTAAATGGGTCATTCTTGGCAGGTTCTACACCCACCAACCATGACAGGGCGTAGAACTCCTGCTGCGGCTATGACATGTGTACACCCCTGACCGCTGCAGCTAAAGGGGCCACGGTTGGGGAGGGGGTGATAAAAGCAAGTCTCAACTATGGGGGTTTTAGCACCCCCAAACTGCAAATGGAAATGAACCCTTAGTGTTCTGAGCCCCCTATAAGGCTGCTTTCACACTGATGTGCTGCAGTTTACCTGCACCAAGGGTGAAGTGCAGTGCCTCTGCAACTTTTCTGGGTTAGCTGCACTTTGCCATAGACATTAAATTATATCCTGCAGGTGTACATTTTCTGAAAGCTCGCATTTTCATAAAGTGCAGGAAAGCTGCATGTACACTGCACTGAACCCGCGGTGCGAGTAAACCGCAGCAGGTCCGTGTGAAAGCAGCCCTATACTATTATGCCCAGTGTATTCCTTCACACTCACCTGAAGATCTCTTCTTTCCTGCTGCTGGCACCACTCTGCAGACCGCTAGCCGGGATAAGAGGTGGAGTGCAGCTGCTATCACTTTGCTTGGAACATGAGGTGGTACTACAGAGGAGTATTCTGTACATACATTTTTCCAACATGTCCCTTTGACAAATCAATTAAAGAATATGTAAGCACAACAATTTATATTCCTGATCTGTG